AACTGCAAACGTGCCTACGACTTTGCTAAACAGAATGAAACCGGGAACAGAATCCGAACGGGTTACAGCTTCTCTGATGTGCAGCAGCTTGCATCTTGCTTGTGGGTAGTACAGTATGTCAGTGGGAGTGGTGCTGGGTAATTATACATCCCCTACTTGGTGAATAGCGACACCTTGAGGATTTAATTAATAGTACGTGCCAGGCTCAAAGAAACTGTAAAAATCCATACATTATGAAATACAGTAAAATCACCTGCATCATGATGGAATACACTGATTATGAAACATGAACACAGTATTATGGTGACCAATTTAGTGCAATTTCAACTGAAAAACATTAACATACATTTTCAACAGAAGTAACGAGAAATGTCAATGAAATGTGAAAAAATATGGGGTATTGTAATTAATTGCAATTGATGTCAAATTTCACAGATATCACGATCTGAATAATATTTTAAGAAACTATGAATACTGTGTCATATGATGGCAGGAAACGAATATATTTCAGATCCAGTCTTAAAAAGTCAATCAGAATGTTTCTCACCTCTGTTCATGTAAAATATTAAACACAAAGAATAGATTGTCGTCAAACACATTCATTTTGTAATTAAAGTTTACACGAATTTTATCTATGGGGTTTCACTTTTTAATAGACTACACTAATTTATTTTAAAAATGTGATCATGGAAGAAATAATGAACTGACCAAAACATACATTTATCGGAATGAAAAACTATGATTTTGCATCTATATTAGCATTGATAATAACGATAAGAGCTCTATGGTTTCATTAAAAATCCAGAATAATTTATATGTATCAGTAAAGCACATAATGTCTTAAACTTCTTAGGGTAAAATTTTAAATGGGATTTAATTCCAAAAACTGACAGCTCAACATCTCCAGCAATGCCACGCCCTGACAAAAAGGCAAAAAAGTGTCTCGGATAGTACTTAACGACAGAAAGCATTACGAATAAAAAACACTATGACATCATAAAAGTAGATCTGAAATAAAAGGCTAAATCTACTTCCAAAAAATGTACAACATTAATATAAATATAAAATATATCCCTACACAACATCGTTCAGTAGAAACAACATTCTAAATTGTGAGCAAAACACTGGACTCTAAAGAAAATACAAAACGCTTTCTCCAAAAGTCAAAGAACAAAGGAACTGTTCCCAAATTCACTGTATTGCCATGATGTGCAACCATTATCTAAACCTTTTAAAACCAAAATAAAACGATTTCAGATCTGTAATGAAACATATTTCGACACACAGAACATCAAGACGTTTTCAATAA